CAGCAAACATCTAACAGTTTCCAAAAAAGTCACAAGAAATTCTGACCTACAATCAAAAATAATCATTACTAAATACTAGGACAATGAATTTCAAAAACAGCTCAATACTGATAAGGCTGCAAGAATGAAAGGTAATAAATGCATAAGGCGCGATGCCCAATGATGATCTTTCAGAAGAAGTCATAAATGTGAATGCGGTAAATCTGAAAAAAAGCCGAAATGCTATTTAAGTGACAGAAAGCGAAATGCATACCGAAGTTTATCAACAAATCGTAGTGCATAATTTCTAAAAATGACCAACTTTACGAGCATTCTTATCGGCCAGCACTCGCTGTGGCAGTGTATTGATTCCATCTTCTTCTAAAGTACTTTTTTCAGCAGCATTCCTATTTCCACTAGCAACACTATTAGCAGCTTTTAATACTGCATCAAATTCGTTGCCATTCGGATCGATCGCGAATTCCTCGGAGAGTCGACGTCCGGCACGTGAGTCATACAGAAACATGCGAACAAAGAATGGCTCAATCTGAAATCATTTGATGAGTTGGAAAGGATTAAAGTTGCTGTTCAGGTCATGGAAAATTTTTAAAGCAATTTGTAAAGTTGCTAACTGGGTTTGTTCATACAGCACTAGATAAAACAATCAGTAAAACTGCTCAGGGACTGAGATTCAGTCTATGAATTAAGACCTGCTTCTAACATCTCAAACAGCTGTTCAAATAATCTAAGGACAGCACCAGATTTTAAGAAAATACTTGAAAATAACACTTTAATTATTTCATTAGAGGCTGCGTAAATTACAGTAATTTACTCAACAAAAGAGAATGACGAACCTGTTGTACATGTGTATTTACTAATGACAATTTGATATTCAAATTCAGGAATTCAACAACAAATCGTACAACTGGCTTATCCATCGGTGGCCCAACATCCAGGGATGCATTCGACAACAAACATTCCGCCTCGTTTCTCGGAATTGGCAATTGCTGAAATTTTGTATCACTTAATAAACTGGCTACTGTTACATAAGTGATTAATAAAACTCAAAAATTACTACATATTTCACCCCTGATTTATTACTTTTCCTTTTATTTCATCAGTTGTAATGCACATATATTAACTTCTGGACAGTTAATCCTCATTAAAGTAAAGTAATTGATAACCTTTGCTCACCAACAGGCGGATCCAGGAGGGAATCCTGGGACGGAGGAGACAGCCCCCACCCACCCTGGAAAAATGCGAAAGATAGGAAGAGGCTGATTACACACACACACACTGCTACTTTGAGTTACTTTTGTTTGAAGTCACTTTAGGCTTTAATTTTCTTTAGTTTTAGCTTTAGACCCGGGCTTTGTAACACTGTGCTTCTGGAGGAGGGGGAGGGGATCCGCCTATCCGTTTATATATCGCCTATATACATAGTTAATTCGCAAGCTTTTTCATCTATAGTTGATTTGTAAGCTTTTTCGACATTACGGCGCCCTCCTGATACAGCTGCGCACCCCCGCTCTGGGGTACTAAGGTTTCTCGATACCAAATCTATCAAAGAAAAGACCCCACGGGCCGTTTGGGCCCTGTGGGCAGATGGAATTTGGAAATGTAGGGGTTGAACCAGCACTGAGTGTCATACCTAGGACGTGCATAAGACGACGTATTATTACTGCTAAAGCTAATTTCCGGGTACCTCTGTCTCTCACAGAAAGCAAATGTGAAAAGCCAGTAGACTTTTGGCCGGAGATTTGTTCTATGTTGCAAATAATAACCGTTGCTATTAAGTTCTGAAAGTGTACGGTTTTCCAAATTTTAATGAACAAGTTTTCAAACTCCAGGAACATACGTTTTTGTAAAAACCTTGTAGTTGGTTAGTAGCTTTTCTGTTCTTTTGCAAATTATAATTTTCCCCTACACACATATCGATGTTTTCGTTCATAATGAAGCTATTATACGTAATAAATTACAGATATGCTCTACACAACTACCCGAAAAAAAAAACATGGGACGTAATACTGCATTAAATGCTTACACTTATTACAGTTTTAAAATTGAAAGCAAAGTGAATAAACCAACAGGACGTGAGGAAGAAACTTACGTCTAAATCGGAATACAGCGCAAACAATGAACGCCTTTTAACAATGGGTGGTTGCAAAAATTTCGCAGCTGCATTTCGTCCAGCCCAAAGACACGATGCGCCAAATGGCTCTGGAAAAAAAAAAATTAAAATATAATACGATGTAAACATTTATCAAACATAAAACTACATATATACATGTATATATATGTATATACATATATAATATATAATATCTCTCTGAGTGTCTGTCAGGAAATGAAACCGTACCATCAAATGGCTGTATTAGCAAAAGCGCTATCATTTGCACCAGGAAATAATTGGCCAACCCACGGGCTGCTCATGCGAAGATACGTTTTTTGCATAGTTCCCCGCAGATTTTTGTCGCTAATGGCACTAAATTTTCCGGCAGATGCTTCTAGCTAAAAGAATTCCAGACTGGCCGCCAGAACTGTCAAGAAACTTTCCCTCAAAAGTCCAGTCTTCTAGCTTCTCACGTTCTCGAGTTAGCAACTTAACCGGAACAAACTTTCACGGGCCCGTACCTGGTACCATGCTTACCTGTCTGTAGGGTTTTAACTCGTTAATACCCACTTGGACAGGAAGCATCCCCCTAAGATTTCAGCGTTCTAGCTTCTCAGATCCCCGAGTTATGAACTTACCCCCAAAAAACTTTGGCGGGTCCGTGCGCGGGTACCACGCGGGTGACGGCGCCCATTTTGGGGATTGAGGAGGGCACGTGCATGTAGATTAAGCTCGTGGAATTTCAGCCCTGCAGCTTTTATAGGTCTTAAGAAGAAAGTGCGTGACACACAGACATACGGACACACAGACAACCCCTCGTCAATATGCACTGCGTAGCTGCAAAAAACGCATAAAAATGATAGCGCTTTTGCTAATACAACCATTCGATGGTACGGTTCCACTTTCTGAGGGACACTCAGAGAGACATTATGAGAAGTTATAAACGACTTATCTACTGAGATACAATAAATACTAGTGCCAGTTGTGGCAGATTTATAACGAAGCTGAGCCATGATGTACTTTACCCCTACAAAAAAACATCAGCAGGGCTTTCTGAAGTTCAGTCAGTACCTGGCCGATTCTCCTTCCCCGTTTCATTCTCCATTTCAAGCAGAAACACACAAAAGTAACCTGATTTGTGGAAGAGGCTAGCATGAATCAAAGAGGCATCAGCACGCTGGAAAGGTTACCTTGGATTTTTCTTGGCAGAGCCACATTGATTTACCATCGAAACGAATTGTGACTGGATTAACTGTCGGGTGGTGGGGTTGAATCATGAACTAGAGCATGCGAATAATGCTACTTGCCACTGAGTCATGCCCACCAGCAACAGTGCCATCGCTAACAGAACGAAAAAAAAGAACTTATGATTTTACCAGCCGAATCAGTTGCTGTTGCTGTTGTTGTTGCGATGGAATTTGATTCATCACCTGTTTCGATTGATCCTGCTCTGGATGCCTGTGACAGGGCATCAGCACTCGTTGAAGCACCATCTGCAAACGTATCGCATAAACGGACTCGTAAGATTTGGTAAAAAGCCAACAGAAGTTGTAAACTCTCGCAGAGCCATAACAACTGACCTGGAGAAGCTCGTATTCCTGGGAGGAACTAAAAAATTCAAAGATTGCTGTCCTTTGTAGAAACGAATGAATCGATATTCAAGGCCAAAGTAAATGATTTAATTATTATTTGTCTTTTAACTAAATTCCTAAAGTTCGTGCAAAAACTGGACGTATCTGTGAGCGAGGTACCTTAAATCAAGCCAAAAAAAACACCTTATTTAATAAAATTAAAACAAACACAACAGGAAAGACACCGCCAGTGCAACGGAAACCTGCTGGTAACACCACACTGGTAACACCACACCGGTGACACCAGTAACACCGCACTGCTGTCAGTCAACAGTAACTACCGAATTGCTATCAACTGTAATCGTATCATCCTTACGTGGCAACGAGTCGCAATTACTTAATTTTATAGCAAATTCAGAAGCGAGTGCATTTTACAGATTTCATAATCCTCTTCGGACCTCAAATTTACATTTTTTTTTGGTGGACGAGCATTCACCGGAAAAAAGACCGGGCTTCATGCAAAAAACTGATAATCACGCACGTTGAGGTTCATATGCCCCGTAATGCAACACTTTCATCCAAGCCAACACCCTATCCCCTTGCATGAAAGAAGAGTCCAAAACACAGCCAATATGAGTTTAAATGTTAAAGTACGGCGCACAAATCATTCTTGCTGTTAACAATCTGCAAACTTCGAGCAAAAACGCATGATCGCGCCAGCAAGTGTGGGTGCGTTGCAGGCTGGATTCATTACGGACGCTTCCTCTTGTAACAATTTACTGATTTTTATATCGTGTTCGTGCGGATACGAAACACAATCTTTGGAAAAACAGAAACGACTAGAGGATGTGATGGAGAGAGCAATGGAGCGAAACATGCTTGCAGTATCAAATGACCGCATCATAAGCAAACAGGCCATCTGTCAGAAAAGCAGCGTGCAGGATTTCACTGGCCACAGAAGAAGGGTAATTGGCCAACGCACGGGCTGCCCGTGCGAAGATGCGTTTTCTTGTATAGCTTCCCGCACTTTCTGTTGCTACCGGCACCGGTTTTTTTGGCAAATGTTTCAGCTAAACAATTAAGACTGGCCGCCAGAACTGTCAGGAAACATCCCCTTAAAATTTCAGCTTTCTAGCTTCCGTGACACCCCAAGATTTCAGCAATCTAGCTTCTCAGATCCCCGAGTTATGAACTTACCCGGAAAAAAATTTTGGCGGGCTCGTACGCGGGTACCACGCTTACCCGGAGGCTGGGTTTGAGTCCACTAATACCCGG